ACCCCAAACAGATGCTGTCTTGTAAAACTGAATGAAGCTCACACGTTTTTCTGAGGCGCAACAGTTCCCAAAACTACGAATAACATACACTGCCACCTGATCAAAAGCCATCTGATTGCCAGACACTGCTGTCTGCAGTGGTCAACTCAGACCAAGTCTCTCATGCTAGATTTTCCTCTGCCCTAGGCAGCTCACATGCCCTAGCTCATTAATATGACTTTTCCAAGAACAAATTGAGTTGCTGCATGAATCCCACAGGATGGGAAAGGAGATATTCACAAGGATGTTGTATCCTACAGATAGTGAATAGGATGGCACCTATGGAAAAAACTGATTGTGAAGAGCCTTTGAAACAAGCCTTGGAGGCCCCTACAAACACAGGCAATATTTAGTCCAGTGGCACCCATTTTCTCTCTGTCCTCTCATCTAGACTCTAAAATTGATGATCCTCCATCCAGTGGAATCTTATGGAAGGTTTTCAAGGGTGGATGAAGTTAATCCCCAGAAGATCTCCTCCAATCTTATGATTCTCACTTACTAGAATCTGTGGTGCTCCTACATATCAACAATTGACTATTGCACATAGCAGATTAATGACTATTCTGCAAATAATTACAGGTTTAGTTATTGCAGCAAAGCAGGGTTTTAACTTTCTCAAAGAAACAATCACTTGAGCAAAGCAATGATGAATGGGGACCTCTCAATGATAATGTGCAAGGAGGTTAACATGCTCACAATTTGTAAAACAGGGATGCTGAATGGTGCAGTGAAACAGTATGCCTTTGCATGCAGAATTTGAGATTTTAAACAGATACTACAAGAACATACAGTAAATTACAAAGATGATCTGAAAAACTGAAAAGTATTAACAGTTGGAAGAATTACCTCAAGTTCAGAGCACAGCTTAAGAGGACAGGTCAATGGATCCCTGCATGTTTATTCCAAAGACGTTTTAAAACTCATTCGAACCTAGTCACTGTGGCAATGCTAGCATAGTAAAAGCTACCTGCAGACACTTACTCAGCTAGTAAATTTAAGATTCAACACCTAGAAGTAAAAATTAGTCAAGTTCAAGCTCAAAGCAGGGCAAATGTTTTGGCAGAGAAAGTCTCTGATCAAAGAGCAATCTCCTAAAATACGTTAAGTTCTTAAAACACTCACTAACCCTATAGATGACAGAGGAATTCTAGTTCCTCTGTAATCCTACCAAAATCACCAGACAAAGCTCTCAAAGCACAAAGTGCGGTACACAGGAGATCACAGTAGATTATAATGAACCTTTTCAAACACCAAAACTCATCAGCACTTACCTCATGTGATCATATTTCTTGAAAAGTGCATTGTATTCCACTGCCCTCTGCTGTAGCTCCACATCAATGCTGCTGCCATAAATGGAAACCACCTTCTTAATGCGACTGTGTGGGGGCAGGGAGGGGAAACAAAAAAAAACACCACACCATGGAATTAGCAGCAATAAGCAAGGGATTAGGAGGTGTCATCCAGAAGACATACTCTGGCCTCTGTTCAACAGGTGTCCTGAGTAACTCATTTAAAAGAGCAGTCACTGCTGTTTTCCTGGAGTATCTATGCAACACCCATTTTTGAACTGTCCCTTCACAACAGCATCAGCAGGTCATTAGTATACCACCACATATCATAAGAAAGCTCAACTACCTACACTGAGCAGCCATCAGTAGGAAACAAGGCTATTTTTCTCTCCATCATCCAAAAAAGGAACTTGAAAGAACAGACCACTGTAAGTAAGGACTTATCTTCCCCATAAAGGAGTTATCAAGCAACAGCAACATGGATTAAGTCCCTACACAGCAGAGGACATCCACAGAGAAAACAGTACAAATCAGTGGAAGTCTTCCACCCTGCAAGCAAAGGAGGACTCTAAAAGCCAACAAATAATAAGACGAGTCTTGTAAACCATGGAAGCAGAACATGTCCAAGGAATAATTCTACTGAAGACAACTGATGCTAGTATATTTACAACAAAGCCCTGTGCAGTGCAACATCAATGAGAACTCACTTGACAGTGCAGGTGAACCTTGTGGAAAGCTTCATGATGGCAGTGAGAGCATAGCCTCGTGTTACAGATGCAGACATATTAGATATCAGGACGCTTTCTAAAATATCAAGAACTTCATCCTCTGTTACCTGAAAAGGTACAGAAAGGTTAGGCTGAGATAGAGAGAAGTTTTGCAGCAAGCCTTCCAGGGCATACTGTAAAAACCTGTCTCTTGCTCAATGGCTACATCATACCTTCTCTGCAATGCCGTGAGCCTATAGCATTATGTTCAGAGCGTATGAGACAGACGCATCTAGGTGGACATCTTAGTTTTAAAATACAGTTCCTGTTCCACAAATTGAAGTGTAGGTTTATCACCAAAACACACAGCTAAGACCCGAGCAGATACCCTGCAGGTTAGGTTAGCACTGAAACCACACCTGCTCTGGCAATTGTAGCTGCACTCCGCACAGTGACTGCGGTGCCTTGTAGCATGGGAAGGAGATTCCTGTCCATCACCATCACGGACACCAGTGCTAAGTAACTGTTGCAAGCATTCCTCTCACACAGGCAGCATCAAGTAGCTCCAGCCTCAGCCAGGTACACAGTAGTTGTTCTTTCCCAAGCTATACCTGTATTGGTTCCTCTTCTTCACACTGACCAGACACCAGAAGATCTCCATACTCTCCTATGCACCAAGAGGCCACTTGCACCAGGGGCTGCTGTTAGAAGAAGAAAAATCAGATGCCTCAGAGATAAATGGATGCCTGTATGACAAATTAAACCATCACCATTTCCCAGAGCAAGTTTAGCCCTCCTTCCAGCTGAGGAAGTTCTCCACAGCAGAATAATATTTGATTCAATCAAGAATTCCATAAGAGAATTAGAGAAAATAAGAAAAACATGAACTTACAGAAGACATGCCTCCTCTGCAAACTGTCCCTTGGAGCTAAACAGTGTGATGTTGACTTACCTTGAGATGCTTAGTAAACATGCTTATTGCAGTACAACAAAGAAACCGAAGGTGGTCGCTTTTGGTATTACCTGGGAGTAGTCACCAAGAATGGCTTTGTAGAGTCTCTGCACAGTGTAGGCATGCATCTCCATGCTATTAGTTATTAGCTGAATCAGATTGGGAACAGCATCATCGCGAACATAACTTCCTGCCTGCAAGAACGATTGTTGTTAGGTTTCACTATCTGACTTCTCAGCAACACCCAGCATCTGCTGATATCCTTTAAAAAGCCACCTGATGTGCATGGAAATAAAAATCCACCTCCTCATCCCCAAGCTGGGAATTTTATGGCTGATTTTGAGCAGGCTCAGATGGGTATAACTACAGGACAGTAAATTTTCCCAACTCAACTATAGCCAAAGAAATCCATACTACAGGTATCCTGAAATTGTCAAGAGGACAGAGTGTGGACATAAGAATCCTGTGCTATACAGAAGGAACAAAAAGCAACACAGAAGACTCCTCTGCTAAATAGAAGGCTGTAAGTCAAAGACACCCTGTGGAGTAGAATGCAGTTTATTCAATTGCTTGCTGAAAGCCAGACTCTATGCCAAATAAGCACAGGACCCAGGAACTTGCCTGCATATCAGTCTCTGGTTGGAGGACAGGAACATGGAGCTCAGAGGGAAAAGGCCCCTTTAAGGCCAGGAAAGTATGTGCGGCAATACACAATCACACAGCTCTGGCACTGAAAGGAAGATGTGTACTGTTCAAAACCTGTTCTGTTTAGGCACTCACTCTGGCACTAAGCAGAGCATACAAAAAGAAGGAAATTAAGTGAGCCCAATTAGGTCAACTAAGTGAGAATCCAGCTAGCCAAAGATGGCTGTATTTGGTTTGCATGGCAAGATTTTGGTAGCAGGGGGGCTACAGGGGTGGTTCCTGTGAGAAGCTGCCAGAAGCTTTTCCCATGTCTGATGGAGCCAATGCCAGCCAGCTCCAAGATGGACTCGCCGCTGGTCAAGGCCGAGCCCATCAGCAACAGTGGTAGCACCTCCACGATAACAGAGTTAAGAAGGGGGAAAAGTTACTGTGCAAGAGAAATGGCAGCTGGAGAGAAGAGTGAGAATATCTGAGAGGAGCAGCCCTGCAGACCCCCATGTGAGTGCAGCAGGAGGGGAGGAGGTGCTGCAGGCGCAGAGCAGGGATTCCCTGCCAGTCCCTGGTGCAGCCCATGGTGAGGC